AATGCTCACAACAGTGTACAGCTGAGTGGGGTCCATACTTATTGTGCTATGGTGTCTGCATGGGTAACTCAGGCTTAAGAAAAAGGCATACAGAAGGCATGGTTTGTTTGCTGTTGATTTCAGGGAGGGAGGGAGGTAAATGCATCATGGGAGGCTAACGCCAAGTTCCCATAACCACCTGTGCCAATGTTTTGGTCCCATAAGGCATTGCAAGCCCAACCCAAATTCCACTATGTGCACTGTGGGATAGCTACCCACAGTGCAGTGCTCCGTGCATCTATGCAAACCCTGCTAGTGGGGATGCACTCTGCCGACACAATGAGCATAGCGTGGACATGCAAGATCGACTTGCCTAAATCGGAAGCTCAATGTCAACTTACATGAAGTCATCTTAACTTTGTAGTGTAGACATGGCCTCAGCCACACACAAAACCCTTCACTTCAGGTGATCGTGCTTTTACTTCAAGTTGGCTGGCTTATCAGAGGGACAAGGAAAAAGTAAGGGTATGACTACACTGCAATTAAAAACCTGTGGCTAGCCCAGGCCAGCTGACTCAGGCTCACAGGGCTATTTAATTACAATATAGATGTTCAGGCTAAGGCTGCAGCCCAAGCTTTGGGACTTTCCCACCTCACAAGGTCCCAGAACCCGGGCTACTGCCCGAGCCCATACATCTACAACACAATTGAACAGTCCCTTAGCCTGAGCCCCATGAGCTGGATTCAGCCGGCACAGGCCAGCTGCAGATGTCTACCTGTAGTATAGACATACCCTAAGACAGGGGTTCTCAGGACAAATTATTTGGTGGCCTCAGAGTGTGGCCACCAACTCTTGCTGGTGGCTGCTCTCACACTTTTTCCTAAAATACTTAATTAGTTTTAGGGGGGAAAAAAAAGTATGCACATATACACTCCCAAATCATTATACTTTATTTATAGCTACCTAGTAAATCTGTTGTGAAAAGTGATATTAACAAACATACACATATCACTTTTCACAGCAGACTTACTCAGCCCTGCCAAGTTTGGGGACAAATTAAGCCCTGGGGGGGAAAAGGAGGGAGGCAATGGGGGGCCAGAGCCTGAAGCCCCGTGGCTGGAGGACAGCCCAAAGCCATGCAACTGGAGCCCGGGGCCTGCCACCGTGCAGCCAGAGCCTGCCACCCCACCACCCCAGAACTGAAGCCCAAAGCCTGAGTCCCATTGCCCTGGGGAAGGTGGGGAACTCACCAGCTGCTCCTCTAGTGTTGTACCTTGGGTGTCTCCAGAAGGAGGCAGGGCTCAACCCCTATTGGCAGCTCCAGCAACCAACACCAAGGCAGCGTATCCAGGAGCAAGAGTGAGGGGGAGGGGCCACTGCTTCCCCCCACCCCCAATCATAGCTCAGGTGGTTGTGGCCACAAGAAAAGCTGTTGGTGGGTGCATGTGGCCATGGTGGCCGCATTTGAGTAACGCTGCCCTAAGAGGCGAAAGCTTGAGTTAGCACAACTCAAGTTTGAGTTTGTCAACTGCTAACATGACCACTCTGTAGCATGGACACAGGTTAACACAGCTCAAGCGGCATTAGTTCTCTAATGCCATCCCAAAATTCCCTCCTGAGTGCCTAGAAAGGGCAGACAAATTATCCCATAATTCACTGTGAAAGAATGCTTAGCCTGACTCCAGTTACACAAAGGGCCACGGCCCCAGAAGACTTAGTACCACACCAGTATGGACAAAGCAACTCAAATATTGTTTTGCAGTGTTGCTGGCTGTCTCCGTTGAGCTAGGCTAACTCAAGTCACTCAAGAGAACTCTGCAAAGAAGCAGCAGCAAGCACTGGAGTTATTCATGGGTGGAAAGGGGCCCCAGAAGAAGTAGAGTAGTGAAGACCCTACTTCTTGCAGCAGCAAGGAGGCTCCGGAGAAATGAGAAGATACAAGAGAAACACCAACAGCTGGAGATTACGTTTCCAAATGTGCAAGACTAACTAGCCAAAAATATATATAAAATATAGAATTCCAAAGTGAAGTCCAGGGACAACAGCTTGGTGGAAATTTCAGCATTTGGAGGCAGAAGTGAGATTGCCTCAAGACCTTACTGATAGGAAGGCACCCTTGCATATTTACATCTGCCTGTTAGGTCTAGTTCTTAGGCTTAAAATCTAGTTCAACATTAGTTTTGTTAGTTCAACTTCTATCCTTTGATTAATTCTGCACCACTGTGCACACACAAAATTCATGTCCTCCAGAGATTTTTCTTCTTCCGTAGAATATAGATTCTGCTGGAGAGGTGCTGCAGTTACACCTTTCACCCAGCAGGGGCTGCTGTGGCACCCGAAGAGGTGTGGCCAGGTGAGGAGACATGGAGAGTGAAGCACACAGGGATGCTCAGGAGTTAGTTGGGTGACAGCACTGAGCCAGGGGCTGAATGGGAGGGGGCTGCAGGGTCACACAGGGGCAGGGGTCAGATATGCCTAACTGAATGGGAGAGGCTCCCCAAACTCCCTGTCTCTCCTCCCTCCATAAAAAAAACCCTAGAACAACCCTGTTCCATACTTTCCCCACTCACACCCAACAACCCTCCCCAGGCTCCTTCCCAGCAATTACTTCCCTCTCCCTCAGCTTCTCTATTACCCCCGATTCCCCCAAGCCTTTGCACGGCTTCTAAGGGATGCTGGAAATACATTTCTGTATTGTAGTTTAAAGAATTACTATGCCAAGTTCTGTATTAATATGACTAGTAAGGAATCCATTTGTCAAAAAAAACATTTCCTGAATCTTTTTTGTCAGTATTATTATGAACATACTTGCTGACAGGTATTTTGAAATAAATTACCAAAATTGAAACTAGCATGATTATATTGTGTTGTTTTGACAAAATATGTAGAATTTTATAGAATTGTAAAATATTGTGTGCAGAATTTTTAATTTTTTTGGCACAGAATTCCCCCAGGAGTAAACTTCAAGAGGTGTTCGGGTTGGGCATGCAAAGTTCTCCACCCACGTTTTTACAAAAAGGGGGGGTAGAATAAGAGGAGAGTTAGCATCTCTTGTCATGATGTAACTTTAAACTGATACTATTAGAAAAATTCCATCAAACTATACAGTACTCTTTCATGCACAATTGTGACAGGTAAAAAACATATTTTTCCCCTTTACGCTATTTATGGTGCTCTGTGATCCTGAACAATAATTTACTGAGACCTTTTATTTTCATTGTGATAACTGTATGCCTACACTATGACTACAGGACTGTAAGATAAGACTTGCACGCAGCGTAAACATATGCTAAAATATTGCCAATAGATTAGTAGGTATTCAATATTTACATTTAATATAAACAAAGAATATCTTGTTCATTCTCTAACATGAACACATTGCAACGGGTATATTTAACAAGACACTCCATTGCACATGCTTCTTCCCTTGGGGAGAGGATAAGAGAACAAACAACAGATACATGTTTAGTCACATGGCTTGATGCACTACTGGAAGCACTCAAATAATACAGTGATGAACATAGCATAAAAACCTAAATAGAATAAGACTCTTGTTCACATACAAATAGACTATTTAATAGACTGCTTATGACACTATTACGTAGGTAACACTAAACCTAATGATAGCAAAGAAAATATTGAACACTGGAAAGATATAGCAGAGCCATCAAGGGAAGAGAGATATTAAAGTGCTCATGAATATATATAAGCTAAGGCCCAGTAAGTAACAAAGGAAGTGACACTATTATGTAAATATAACTTATTTGCTCTTTGGATTGTACAATACAAAAGATGTGAGACGTTAACTAAACCAATCTGATTATTATTTACTCATTTTATTGAAACTCATCAATCAAATCATATTACATGAAATAAAACCAGAATGCCTTAATAACATTATCTACCTAACCACATCTCAAGATACTGGGTGTGCATATCTCATACAACAGCAGGTGTCATCAAGAAAAACATGTCCCAAATATGCTGTGCTATCAGTTGGTTATGGAACTCTGTAAGGCCATTTAAATCGGATAGAAGACACAGCTCAAACAACAAAAATCAATACATGTTTCCTTGTAAATAACAATGTTGGCTTAGTCCAATATTTTAGTCTCCTGAAAAACCTTAAAGTTTTCACTTTGAAGATGCAGGGGGGGAAATGACTAAGTTTACAAAATATGGTGAAATCTGCACTAAGGATCTCCTTAGTTACTTCTAAGTAAGCATTGTTTTCTGTGCCCAACACTCTGTACCACTCTACAGTACAAGACTGATGGAGAGGACTTATGAAACTGATAAAGGTTAAGAACAGTGAAGAAATCATCCAAAAGGGCTAAGGGAAGGGAGAAAGTCACATATCTAAGCTTTCCACGTTAATGCTATTCCTCCTGTAGATAAAGTCTTTTCTGTACTTAGTAACTGACTTTTGCTAATGCCTTGAGCGGTTACCCCCAGCAGCACTACAATTTAATGTTTTCGCTCTGCCTAAGAGCAGATGCTCACAGAGGCAAATTAATGCCATGGCCACCCGACGCCGCCTCTCTAACTCACACAAACAGCCGCGTGGGACCGAGCTCCTTGATAGTCCTTATAGCACCAAGCTCAGCGCTGCCCCCGGGCTGAAGAGCCCGGGCCCGGGAACAGCCCCACCGCCAGTCGGGGCCAGGGACAGCCGAAGAGGAACCGCAACCCCGGCTCTGCCCCAGCGACCAACAAAGTTACCGCCCGCCCACAAGCTGCGCGGAGGGGAGGGGAGGGGAGGGGAGAGGCTTTGCGTGCCCCGGAGCCCGGGCAACCCCCCTCCCTCGCTACTCTGTGGGGGGACCCCAGACTCAGCCAGACACCCCGCCCGCAGACAAGCCCCGTCAGCGCCCCACACAGACCCCGCCCCTCAGTGCCCCCAGCCCCACACAGACCCCGCCCCTCAGTGCCCCCAGACCCGCACCCGTTCAGCTCCCCCGGAACTTTAGGCCCACACAGACCACAGGACCCCGCTCGGGCACCAGCCCCCCCCCCTTACCGGGTCCCGCCGCTGCCACCGCCGCGTCCCCGCGCAGCGCCGGCCGCCCCGCTCTTATCCCTCTGACAGCGGCCTCCCGCCCCTGCCAAGATCCGGCCTCCTCCTGCCGCCGGGACCGGAGCCGCCCCCTCCCGCTCCGTCACCCGGGAAACGCAGAGCCCGCCCCCTGGCCCTCCCCGCACAGGTGACGCGCCAGACACCAATCAGCGGCGCCGGCGGCCCGCCAGGAGAGCACGTGTGTCCTGCGGGCCAATGGGAAACGCAGCCCCGAGCGTGACTGGAGCCAGGGGGTTCCTTGGGCGGGGTGCTCGTCTCTTGCACAGACCTGATCGCCTCATGCCCCTCCCTCTACACCCCTCCCCCTCGCCCTGATTCCCCCGCCCCCTGTTACCCCTCCTAGTCCTCTTCCCTTGTATCTGGAGTCACTGGTGGGAGCAAGTGGGGACCCCGGGACTGGGCTCCGCGCAGGGCCCGGTGAGGCAGTTTCATGGAGGGAGGTTTGCTGGGGGCACTTGGCCTGGTTTACACTTAGAGGTTTCTGCAGAAGACTAGTTCCGGTATGGCTGATTCCCCCCCCCCCCCGGTATTATTATACCTGTCCAAGCCCTAGTGTGGGGCGTGAGAAAAATAGTTGGTTTGACTTGAGGGTACGTGTTAGAGAGGGCTGCTTGCTACCACCAATCCTCTTCAGCTGTTCTCTTGAAAAAATCTTAAAAAGAGGAGTGTGTGTACCTGTGGCTGGATGAAAAATTAGTCCTCATTGCAAGAGGAGGTGCAAAAGTTGCTAGACAGAATGGCATTGGAAGCAGAGAAGAAAGAGCTTAAGATGTCACATGAAAAGACAGTGGTGACAGTCAGATATGTTGAAAAGGCAGAGATAGTTTTATCCAAATCTGAGGAGGCATTGGAGTGTGTTCAGCACTTCAAACCTGGGTAGGATGACTACAGGGGACACTAACCATCACTTAGGGATCCAACATAGAATTGGACTAACAACTGCTACTCTAGAAAAACTCAGCCACAGCTGGAGAAACAAAGGTATTACCATGAAGTGTTAAATAAAATTGCTCCAGTCTCTTGTCTTCAGTATCTTGCTATATGGATGCCAGACATGGATGCTAAGGAAACAGAACCTTAAGACCGGTTTCAGAGTAGCAGTCGTGTTAGTGCCTTCTAACTGAAATGCTACAGGCACTTGCAGTATGTTAGCTATACTGCACACATGACTAAAGAGGAGGCAATTGCCTAGATTTACACAAATGATATCTGATATCAAGACGATCAGATAAAGAAAACTTGAGTTTGCAGGACACGTGGGTGAGATGAACGGAGGAAGATTGCCAAAGTGAGTGTTGCAGGAACTGATGGTGGGGCAGGTGTGGTTCCACTACGTGGGTTGTTGGATGGGATGTGATATGGCACACTTCTCACGGCTGTGTAAAGACTGCTTTAAAGACTGTGTAAAGAAACGTGGAGGAAGATTGCAGGCCAAGGACTCTGGTGTGTTGCATTTACTGTTCATTGTGATGTGACTGAGATGTTTTGCATAATAAAAGAATGCATGTATGTATACTACTATAGCTTATTTCAGTACCTGAATTGGAATAAGCACTCTTATGTTGGTATAATCACATATGCATCCAAACTGAGGGGGTTGCTTTAATTATGCTAATACAGTTTAACTGGCAAAACTTTTAAGTGTAGACAAATCTTTTATCTAGCAGACAAGGGCAAAATTCTCCCTCAGGCCCCTTAAGAGCACTATAAAAATGGTCTCAGAAACTAATTCACTTTCAGAGAGTCTTCCTGGCAGTTCTGAGCATTCATTATACTAATAACAGTGGGAGTCCAAATGGAGCAACACCCAGGGGTCTGTGCAGCTGAAACCAGGAAGGAGGCCAAGGGGACACTAAGTGCATGCAAAATGTAACATCATGTTGTAGCCACACATGTTCAGTGCAAAAAATAATGATACAAGTGTGGCAGAAGGAGAAACAGTCTATAACTAGGTACAAATATAGGTCGATGTGGGAGGAAATGAATCACTGAGCAAACACCAGGGACCCAGAACTAGATTGGTGTCATTGCTTGACCTGTATAAATTTCACGTGTCACTAGTTGATCATGGCAATATAGAAAGACAAGAGATGAGGAGAAAGTGATACATTGGGGTGAATGCAGAGATGAATTTAAATAAGGAAGTAATTCTAGACAGAATTTAATGACACAAAGTGTGAGAGGTGCAGAGCTCCCTTTTGTATAATTTACCATCTGCTGGCTCCCTCAAAATGTATGTTACACCAACTTAAACTCCCTTTAAACTCCTTCTAGGCCTGCTTTAATACATTGGGGCTTGATTCTCATTTACACAACTCCCCAGGGTTTTGCCTTTGTTCTCCTTCCACTTCCACGGGAGGATCGGGGGCCAGGAGGTGTGTCTGTAGCATACTGTTTTAATCCCAAGAGAGTCTAAAGACTTGCCTATATGAGAAAAATGGAATTGATTTAACTAAATCGATTTAAAATCAATTAATCTAGTTAAACTAGTGTAAACCCCTCCTCCCACATAAATGCACTTCAACCAGTTTAAATCTCACTTAAAAGCAGTTCAGCTAAATTTGGCAATTTAGCAATGCAAGCTGCATAGGGGAGTTGAACTGTTTAACATCAATGTAGTTAAGCTGATATAATTTTTTTTCTGTATAGAAAAGACTTAAACTGGTGTACCAAAGGAACAGAAGAGCGGAGTGCAGATAGAAAAGCAAATAAGATTGGGTAAGAATTTATACATTAAACTCCCTGCTTTGACACTTTTTTATGGCTCCTCATTGTATAGATTATACCTATTCATACTCTGTTACTGTGTCTTACATATTGTTAAGGGGCTGTAAGTAGATCTAGTTAAAAAAAAAAAGTTCTAAAGGCCAGGTGCACACTAAAAAGTTAAGTTGACCAAGCTAAGTCACTCCGGGGTGTGAAAAATCCACACGCCTAAGTGACATAGTTAGGCCAACCTAAGAATTCTTCTGTCGATGTAGCTGCTGCCTCTTGAGGAGGTGGATTAACTACAGCGATGGGAGAAACCCTGTTGCTGTAGTGAGTGGCTACGCTGAAGCACTACAGTGACACAGCTGTTTAACAGCACTGTAGCTGTTTAAGTGTAGACATGGGCGATGTTGTGTTAGCTAACTCAAGGTTAAATCCTAATGAAGAAAAGGCAGGTTGTAGTTTTCACACACTTAGCAGATAGAATTAAAGACTAGGCTCCTCCATAACCTTTATCTCAAGCAGCTAATTTGTGAAAACTACAAACTGCTTTGTCTTCATTAGGATTTTACCTCAGGTTAGTTAACTTGAGTTTTGTAGAGAAGACAAGTCTTAAGGGAGTTTAATTTACCCTTATACACCATCTCTCTGAATTTGGTCCTATGCATCCTAAAATGTTTAAACAAACATGTTGGGGAGGAGGAAATGCTTAAGTTGGGAAGACATTACATAAATGGGAAAGGAGGTATGGTTAGGTAACTCAAGAAGGCATGAAGCTTTCCCTAAAACATGCCTAACAGGACCTGCAGTCGATGTCCACAGCTTGTAATTTTTACCACAATTTCTTGATATCTCAAATTTTTGCCACAAGAAGCCTTACTTGTCCCCCAATATTTGTTAAGGCAGTAATATATCCTTAAAAAGGAGTGTCGTATTGCACTGTTAGGTTTCAGAGCCTGTCTGCATGTGTACCAAGGACAACAAGTATGGTGGTGATTGCCTCAACAGTTAAATCAAACACTCAGTGTTCCCATTATCAGAAACTTGTTCTCTCATTTAGGGCACGTATACACTACAACATTAAGTTGACTTAGCTTACATCAGCATACAGCCACCACAGTAATTACATTGCTTGTGTATGTCTACACTTTGCTCCTTGTTTCAGCGGTGCGCCTCTTCACGAGGAGCACTTGTATCCATTGTACTGTCAGTGTGGGGCGGTTTCTGAAACCCAGTAACAGTCGATGTAAACAGTGCAGTGTCTACACTGACACTGCATCAACCTAACTACATCAACATGGACTCTACAGCTCTCGTGGTGGAGGAGTTAAGTCAGCATAGCAAAGCAGTTACATTGGCAGCAGCGAAATTTTAGTGTAGATGCTTACATACTTAGGTTGATGTAAGCTGCCTTCCTGGGGGCATTGGTCTTGCTCCAGCATGTAAGGCTATGTCTACACTTAAACTGCTACAACACTTCAGTGTAGATATTCATTATAGCCACCAGAGGGGTTCTCCTGTTGCTAACCCACCTCCCCAAGAGGTGGTAGCTAGGTAATGGAAAAATTCTTCCGTCAACCAAGTGCTGTTTACACCGGGGTTAGGTCAGCTTAACGGTTGCTCGGGGGCATGGATTTTTTACACCCCTGAGAGATGTAGCTGGTTCTACTTACCTTTTTAATGTAGACCTGGCCTAAGTTTTCCTCCTCCATAAGAACAAGCCCTTTCTCTGTCCTATCTCAACACAATCTTTAAATAATTTGTGAATGTTCATCATTACCGGGTGTAGCTAATGTTTTTATTTTATTTTGGTGCAAGCATCTCCTTGACTTTTGCACAGATTTCAATTTCCCTCTGGAATTATAGCCCTGTCTGCTTCACCATTTCAGCCTAGATTTGGAATGATAAATATTAAGTATTTGTGGTTGTAAATTGCAGATCCATGCTACAGAGCATTTACTGCAAAACAGCATTTTGTCTTCCACAAAAAATGACAATACCTTTTATATATATTTAGAGAAAAGTGGATATACTTTCAGAATCAGTCAGTGGGCCAAATATCTAAGTGATTAAAATAATAATACTGATCAGAGCACTGTGAATAAATTATCAAACAACTGTAGCCTCTTTTTCTATGTATGAATCTGTGGCAAGCTGATTTTCACTTTTACAAATGTATTCGTTCTACATCAGTAGGGACAAAATAGTTTAGGTGAACACATTTCTGGCTCTGCAAATTATTCTATTTGCCTTCCTGATGTGTGATGGGTCACCTACGTAAGACACTATTGTTTCTATTCCCTGACTGGATGAATACAGCATTTTAAGCAGCAGAATAATGAAGGATGAATACTGAATAATGAGTAAAACACTCCA